TTTTTTTTGAGGGGCCTCGTGAGTGCAGGGCCTTAGGAGGTTTTTTTACTTCCTCTGGATTGAATCCTGGTCAGATACGTCCAGAGCATGCATGACAGGCCTGGGAGCAGTCCTCTTAGGGCATACACATTCGGGGGCTGTCATGATTTATGCATGTCATCCTTGCGCAGGGGCCATGCCAATCTTCCTTCTCTGCATCGTTCCAATTTTAACGGATGTCCCCAAGGACACCATGGGGGCTGTCATGCACTGGACGCAAGCGTGGTCATTCCTGTTTGAGACGAGGTCAAGAGCTCTAATCCCGACCTCAGACGCAGGGCCCGCTTCAAGTTGTTTATATTAATCACAGAACTGGAAGCATGTTTTTGTTCCTTCCTTCTTTCCTTCTTTCCTTCTTTCCTTCTTTCCTTTCCTTCTTTCGTTCTCTGCAGTAAATGCAACAACGGCGACATCGAGCTCCAGGACGGGCACTACCATCGTCACGCGAATAGAACACCAGGTCATTATAACATAGCCGTATTTGGTTCAATTTCCAGTCGAGATACAGCTGTACTGAGCAGGCGTTCTATTCGAGTGAAGACAGTAGTGGGAGATTGGAGGTGAAGCACAACGGTAGATTAATACCAAGCTGTTTGGTAACTCGATTGCTTTTTTTTTTTTTTTTTTTTTTTTTTTTTTCTGTGTGTAAGAGGGAGGGGGGGGGGGGGGGGGGGAGGATAATTTGCAAGATACCCCTATAAGTTGAGATATGATGTGCCAAAATGCCCCCAAAAGATGCGGGTAGAGCGGAATGGCCTTTTGGGCCTGTTTTGCCCCTGTCAGGCCCGCTCGTGCAAATTTGCAATCTGGACCTCATCGTTAGCGCCTGGGCCTGCACCCTGTTTTTACCAGTTTGCCCTCCATACAGGGTGGGCAACTTTGCACAATACCCAGGCCCATATGCATGGCAGTTTGCCTCCCTGATTCAAACTTCCAAACTCGTTCCAAGTCTCTGCTGCTGTGTTCGGCAACTCGTTTGAAGTCTCCGCTGCTGCCTCCCGCTGTGTTCGGCAGCTTCATCCATCGCCGCAGCTCCGCCCTGCTAAGCTTCCCCATCTCCAACTCCACCTCCTCCCCTGCCATTCCTCCAAGTTTACTCCTTTACCACGTCACCATCGTCAACGCCTCTTCTTCCTCACGGTACTCTCTTCCCCGACTCTTTCTCCTCCTTCATTTCCTCGTCCTCCATCCACTCCTCCTTTCTGCATCTCGTAGTTCCTTGCCTCCGCACCCTCCTCCTCCTCCCATAGCCTCTTAAGTTTGCTGATTGACGTCATCGCCAAAGATCAGCAAAGAGGTTAGAGAAAGAGCAGGAGGGTGTGGACGCAAGGAACCACGAGATGCAGAAAGAAGGAGAGGATGGAGGAGGAGGAAATGGAGGAGGATAAAGAGCCGGGGAAGAGGGGACAGTGAGGGACAACAGGAGTTGAAGATGGTGGCATGGCTTTTCTTTTTTGCCATGTCACCACCTTTTTCACCGAACGTCCGAAGTGCATCAACCTGCGAGGCTCTTGAGGGAGATGACAGCACACAGACACAGCCTGTGTGTGTGTGTGTGTGTGTGTGTGTGTGTGTGTGTGTGTGTGTGCGAGAGAGAGAGAGAGAGAGAGAGAGAGAGAGAGAGAGAGAGAGAGAGA